TAAACCTGCAGGCTTTGCCCTCCGATTATAATGAGACATGGAGTAATTATAAATGATTTCAGGTTACGTTTTATATGTCTGGTATTTTGATACTCTGCCCTCCTCATATGTTTCTGTTAGCGGGAGCTAATGTTTATGTCAAGCTTTGCTACTTTAGCTGTTGGGAGCTAAGTCCGTGTATTTTTATTGTCTCATTCTGCACAGTTTGAATCTTTAATCCATAAAAAATGATCTGTGTGGTTCTTACAGTATCTGTTTTGCCCAAAAGGTTCCAATCACATTTCTAAGTCAAGTTGCTGACTGATATTTGTATATATAGTTTGTGAGATATTCTGATTTGCCTTTTACTTTATTCACTAAGTGAATATAATTAAGTGAAATAAATTGCCTTTCGATTCTAGTTTATTGACTTTCTGTGTATAAATATTTATCTCTACACAGGATGAAACGGCTGACTGATGGATCGGGTCTGGTGTTATTTCACTTTCTGGATGATCAGGATCTTTCAGATCTCATCTACCTTCTGATCCGATGGAGCTGCTGCAGGAACACACTGATCCTCTAACAGGATCCTCAGATCCAGGCATCGATGTCTGGTGTCCTGCAACATTTAGATACGTCCTGGTCCAACACGCCTGAATTAAATGGCTGCTTAGGACAGTCAAGTCCTCCAGAGTCGTGCTAATGACCTCTGACCTCATGATTTGACTCAGGTGCATTAAAGAATAGACATCTAAAGATTGGAGGACACCGACCCTTATAAACTGGAGTTAAAGCCCTGCTGTACAATTTTCACTTAATCGTAATTACATTTATTTGCGTACAGTGGAAATTTTACCTGTGTTGAGGTAGATGAGTTTACATAGCGTCTTTACTTTAAAACCATTTTGGTTTCCATTTGTTGAAAGTAAATTACAAACATTTAGCCATAGTTTGACCACTGCTTTATGACAGAAAAAAAGTTTGATGTCACAAATATATGATTTTAATAGAGGCATCATTCAATTTATACAGTAGAAAGAAGATGACAAGTGTTTCCTGAATTAACTTTAATGTTCATTTCACTGCACACAAAGGACAGATTAAATATTTAAGATTGCAACAAATCTGTTGAATCTTTAACAAAATAGGTTCAGATTAACATGGGTGGATTCACAGCTACCTAAAGTTAACAATGAAATGTCTTCAAACTTACATGGATGTTCAAATATTTACTATAATCAATTAACAAAAGAAAACACCATAAAGCTGTGTATTCAAATACGACCAAGGCCAGTCTGTACAGATTGAGGATATACCATAACATCTACCAACAGAGCAGGTTAACTACTGTAGTTTGAAAGGCATCTTGGTTCAGTTGACGGCTCAGTTTGAAGCTTCAGGTTTTGGTGTTGAANGGAGCTAATGTTTATGTCAAGCTTTGCTACTTTAGCTGTTGGGAGCTAAGTCCGTGTATTTTTATTGTCTCATTCTGCACAGTTTGAATCTTTAATCCATAAAAAATTATCTCTGTGTGGTTCTTACAGTATCTGTTTTGCCCAAAAAGTTCCAATCACATTTCTAAGTCAAGTTGCTGACTGATATTTGTATCTGTAGTTTGTGAGATATTCTGATTTGCCTTTTACTTTATTCACTAAGTGAATATAATTAAGTAAAATAAATTGCCTTTCGATTCTAGTTTATTGACTTTCTGTGTACAAATAACATATTATATTTATCTCCACACAGGATGAAACGGCTGACTGATGGATCGGGTCTGGTGTTATTTCACTTTCTGGACGATCAGTGTCTTTCAGATCTCATCTACCTTCTGATCCGATGGAGCTGCTGCAGGAACACACTGATCCTCTAACAGGATGGTCAGATCCAGGCATCGATGTCTGGTGTCCTATAACATTTAGATACGTCCTGGTCCAACACACCTGAATTAAATGGCTGCTTAGGACAGTCAAGTCCTCCAGAGTCGTGCTAATGACCTCTGACCTCATGATTTGAATAGACATCTAAAGATTGGAGGACACCGACCCTTATGAACTGGAGTTAAAGCCCTGCTGTACAATTTTCACTTAATCATAATTGCATTTATTTGCGTACAGTGGAAATTTTACCTGTGTTGAGGTAGATGAGTTTACATAGCGTCTTTACTTTAAAACCATTTTGGTTTCCATTTTTTGAAAGTAAATTACAAGCATTTAGCCATAGTTTGACCACTGCTTTATGACAGAAAAATAGTTTGATGTCACAAATATATGATTTTAATAGAGGCATCATTCGATTTATACAGTAGAAAGAAGATGACAAGTGTTTCCTGAATTAACTTTAATGTTCATTTCACTGCACACAAAGGACAGATTAAATATTTAAGATTGCAACAAATCTGTTGAATCTTTAACAAAATAGGTTCAGATTAACATGGGTGGATTCACAGCTACCTAAAGTTAACAATGAAATGTCTTCAAACTTACATGGATGTTCAAATATTTACTATAATCAATTAACAAAAGAAAACACCATAAAGCTGTGTATTCAAATAAGACCAAGGCTAGCCTGCACAGATTGAAGATATACCATAACATCTACCAACAGAGCAGGTTGACTACTGTAGTTTGAAAGGCATCTTGGTTCAGTTGACAGCTCAGTTTGAAGCTTCAGGTTTTGGTGTTGAACCTCCTGGAATCTCAGCTGCTGCAGATTGTCTGAAGATGCAGAGAAAAGTACAAATAGACAGTTAGTCTACAGTTATGTTGATTTTCCTGAACAGCTGATGCACTGACAGACCTGACTGTGACAGAACATTACTGAACCTGAAAATTACTTGAATAATCACAATGCATGTAGAAATTTTTCTTTTTATGTTGATCAAATGTTTTACATTAAATGTTTTGCTGTGAAGGCTATGTTTGCAGTGGTGCTTTAAATAAATGCATAAAATATTTATTTTCTTATGTATGTCTTTATTAGCTCTCAATTGTGTCATAATATCAATCGAGAAAGAAATTTACTGCTTGTGAAAATCTAAACCATCTGAATACATTTTACCATCTTCAGATTAAACTGTGTTTGTGTCTGGACCCCATTTCAT